GGAATCTAAAAAATAGTACAAATGAACTTATTTACAAATCAGAAACAGACTCACAGACACAGAAAACAAACTTATGGTTACCAAAAGGGGTAACAGGACGGGAGGAAGGAGAGGTAGATAAATCAGGAATATAGGATTAACAGATACACATTAGCATATATAAAACAGATAAACAAGGATTTACAGTATAGCACAGGGAAATATATTCGATCTTATAATAACCTATAATGGAAAAGAATCGAAAAAAATATATAAAACACACCAAATATAACCAAATCACTTTGCTGAAATCAACTATAGTTCAATAAAAAAATGAAATTTTAAAAAAGTATAGACATACAGTGGATTCACCCTCCCACCTCGTCCCTCACCAGCCAAGTGACCACACCCCCACCTCCAGAGGTATCCAGTTACTAGTTTCTTGTGCAGCCTTCCAGAGATTTTTGTCTATAAAATACATGTACACACACCCACTCCCATGTTTCTTCCCCTACCCCCTTTTTTCACATTTAACAATACATCTTGGAGATCTTTCCATATCCATATGCCAAAAAGCTTCCACATTGTTTTAGGTCACATAATATTCCACTATATGGATGTGACCAGGTTCAGGAGACACTACCTCAAAATATGGCTCCTTTGGCATACTGACTATTTCAAGCAAATGGAATTTGAGAAACAGCAGGTGCAAGAAGGGCTTTCTGACCTTCCCCTGAAACAGGTCATAAGACCCTTATGTGAGAGGTGCCCTCCCTATAGCCAGGGCATGAAAGAAGCATCTTTATGTCTGAAGCCTGAGGGACACTGAGAAGAATCTGAATAACAGGCCTTGCTAAGTTTCCCTTAGTTTTCTACACTTAGCCCATACCTTTTGTCTTATCAAATTTCCCCATGACTTTCCAGGCTTCATCAAACCTAGCACAAAACTACTCAGGTTTAACTTCTTTGGGTCTTCATTTCCCTATGAAACTTCCTGTGTCGGGTAAAACTTACAAATTTGTATGATTTTCTCTTGTTACAAGGGCCCCAGCTGAGAACTTAGAAGAAGATAAAGCAGTTACTTTTTCCTCCCCACAGATGCATCATGATTTATTATCCTGTGACCTACTGGTGGACAGCTAGACCATACCTCACCAGTTATCATTATAAACAATGCTGCAATGAATAATGTCTTATGTAAATCATTTCATATATATTTCTATGTATCAGTAGGATAAATTCTTGGAAGCAGAACTGCTGGGTCAAAGCATTATTTCAAAATTATAATTTGAAATTATCATTGACCTAATATTTCTTAGCATGAGTTGTCCAGTAATAAAATAGTAGGCTCCTCATTGTCACATGTTTACATGGTGCGAGTTTACAATTCTGACTGACAGTACAGGCAGAGAGAGTATAGGCCACTAGAAACTCTAGTCTCCCCCAAACCAGAGCAAATATTATATGTTCGTTAAATTGCAGCTATAGAAAATAATGATGGTCTCTTATAACTGCTGTTTTAGAAACAAATATATGTACAGCATTATACAGAATATAAAGCTGAAAATGAGAATAGTAGATTAGAAAGAAAACGTTTTTTCAATCTATTAACAAAAGATAAACTGAGCATCTTCAATGCTTCAAAGTCTCATGGGGAAATACAACAACTCTAAAATCTGCTTTTTGGAAATAAGACAGCATGAAGGAAATTTCAATATCGATTTGACACGACTGAGTCAAATGAACACGTGGTCACTGTGGCTGGAAATGAGCATCATGGAAAGGAAGGAAGAGAAGGTTAAGTTTTTCCAAACCAAAAGAGGAAATGAACAAGATATAGTGGTAAGGTCTGAGGAGATCATTTTGGCTGAGAGAAACAATTCACATTAAGGGTCAATGCAAGGTTTGTTTTTATCTATGACATTGAAAGTTAAAGAGAATTAGAAAACAAAATTAAACATTTTTCCCCTCAATTCTTTTCCAGACTATTCCTAATCAACATCCTCTCTACCATCTCCTAACAGGTTTCTATTTATTTAAGAAAACAAAACAAAACACCTTTCATTCTTTTTCCACAACTTTCTTTCTGACTATAAAAGCAATACACTTTTAAAATAAACATTTATTGGTCTATTATAGTAATTTCTTCTGTAAATAGTGTATGTCCTTTGCCCACATTTCTATTGTCAGTATTTTCTTACCAGTTGATAACAGTGCTTTATATATTAAGATTGCATTGTTCTGTACTTATCCTATCCTGCCCCTCTCTCTCACCGCTCTTCACCTCCTAAAACTCTTCCACTGGGCCCTCTTCAACTCATGGTCTACCATCGCCGAAATTTTCTAAATCCTCAATTCCTTAACATCTCCTTCAGATATTTGCTCTAGAGAATCTTGAATCCCAGATAGTTTCCCCGTAGCTCTTTTTTTCTCTCACGAGTGAGAGAAAGCTTCCTGGCTCTTTGCTGCAGCTTCCAGACTGTCCCTCCTTCCTGAAAGTAAGCTTTGGCTCTTGTGCCATTGGGTTGTACTCCCACCACAGGTCACCACTGCAGTCATCTACCACAGCCCCCACCATTCCCTTTCGTTTTTCACTCACTGTAAATGCTGGCTCACTGTCGCTCTCTCCAATATTCTTCCTGTCTTAATTCCTGGTGATCTCAACACACATGAAATTACACTGTGATCTCTCCATTCCTCGAACTCTTTTCCTCCAGTGATTTTTGTCCTCCACTCTTCTTTACCTATTCACTTCCATGCCCTAGGTCTTTTATTACCAGTAGGTGCAAGCCCTCCATTGTCTCAGCTGTGTGTATCTCATTCTCTATCACTTCTTTCTAGCTTGCTCCTTCTAACACCTCAGAACAGCTCCTCTGAGACTTTTAATCCATTGTTCCTACCAGCTCTTCACTGGCTCTCAGCTTTTGATTTCCTATCTCCCGCTTACCCAGCCTGAATTCCATGGTCCGTAAATACAATGTCATCTTTCAGACACCCTCAACTCCCTGGTCCCTCTCTCACTTCACTGTACTGGCTCTAATTCTTGCCACTATTCTTCCGATCTACTCTTGACTATTTTACACCATCTTTCCTCAAATCTCTGACACCTGCTCCCACATCCCCACATTTAGCTGATGACTTCAATTTCTCTTTAATTACGAAATTAAAAGCACCTGTAATCAGATATAGAGAACAGACTTCTGGCTGCCAAGGGGGAGGGACAGATGAGGGTTTGGGATTAGCAGATGCAAACTATTATATAGAATGGATAAACAAAAAGGTCCTACTGAATAACACAGGGAACTATATTCAATATCCTATAATAAACCATAATGGAAAAGAATATGAAAAAAATATGTATAACTGAATCACTTTGCTGTACAGCAGAAATTAACACAACATTGCAAATCAACTATACTTCAATTAAAATAAATTTTTAAAAAAGCATCTGTAGTCACATGTACTACATTCCATCCTGTTATTAAAGATCTGCTCTGTCCAATACAGTAGCCACTAACCACACACAGCTAGTGAGTTTGAAATATAACGAGAGAAACGTAATTCCTAATTTTATTTAATTTTAATTAATTAAAAAATTTAAACGGAAGCAAGATAAACATTAACTTTAGTGTTTTGGTAGGACTATATTTTCCGTTTAAAAAATAAATTTATTTTTAAAAATTTATTTTTGGCTGCATTGGGTCCTCCTTGTGGTGGCTTCTCTTGTTGCAGAGCACAGGCTCTAGGTGCCCAGGCTTCAGGAGTCGTGGCTCGCGCGCTCTAGAGCACAGGCTCAATAGTTGTGGTGCATGGGCTTAGTTGCTCTGCGGCATGTGGGATCTTCCCGGACCAGGGCTCGAACCCATGTCCCCTACGTTGGCAGGCAGATTCTTAACCACTGCACCACCAGGGAAGCTCCTACATTTTCCATTTTAATGGTGGAAAATTTAGCATCCAAGCTAAGATGTGCTTTAAGTATAAAATACAAACCTGATTTTGAAGATCTAGTATGAAAAAAACAATGTAAATACCTCATACATCACGTTTATAAGACTACATATTGAAATAATATTTTTGACATACCTAGTTAAATAAAATATTTTAATAAAATTAATTTCATCTGCTTTTTACTTTTTTTAATGTGGCCACTTAGAAACTTTTAAGTTACATATGTGGTTGGCATTTTATTTCTACTGGACAACGCTATTACAGATTAACTATGTTCCTAAGACCAAACAATTGAACACGAAACTCAACATCTCTTGCCTACACAGCGGTACAGCTCCAGCAATTCTTCCCTCTCCTACATCATCCATTTTCCCCACTTTACAGAATCTTTCCCTTTAATACAAAAACATGCAGTTACTTCTGTCACGTTAAAAAAAAATAACACATAACACCCACTCTTAACCCACCTCCTCTGCAGTTATTGACCCATTTTTCTGCTCCCCTTTGCGGCAAAACGTTTTCAAAGGCTTATCTATATTCGTAGTCTCCAATTTCTTTCCTCCTATTCTGTCGTGAACGCTTTCGCCCCCACCACGCCATCGAAACGGCTAAGATCGAGGTCCCAACAATTTCCACTCTGCTAAACCCAACAAGCAATTCTCAGCTCGTCTTTTAATTGACTTTGAGCAGAGAGTTGCCCACTCCCTGCTCCTGGAGTGCTTCCGGGCCACCACGCTCTCCTCCCTCGCTCTGCTTCTTTCAAGTCTCCTTTGCTGGGCTCTCTTAACATTGAAGGCTCTGGGGCCTCATTCCTCGGACACCTTCTCTCCCCACCTACACTCCTTATCTGTCAATCTGTAGCTTTCAACGCCAGTCAGCTCTAAGCTTACGAATATCAAATTTACATCTGCAGCTCGGCCCTCCCCTGAAGCAGGCCGGAGGCGGGAAGTGGGCAGAGCGAAAACCCTGAGACGAGTCTGCACTGGGCGCTACAGCTGGCATAATAGTGGGGGACCCGTGGGTTTGGGGGTTCAGAGGAGAGGGGGAGGAGGGTATAAGGGCGTGGCGCAGACCTGCCGGACTGTCCGCAGCAGAGAGCCGAGCGTGGAGGCCGCCATGTTGTCCGCCGCAAATGTCAAACTGCTGCAACTTTATTAACGCTGCCGGATACAGCGAGGACACGAGGGGCGGGACCTGGGCCGCAGGGGGCGGGGCGGCAGGCGGGTCTTTAGCGTATAGGAAGGAGGGCGTAGTTAATTGGATGTACGTTCTCGCGGTATTCAACGGAATATGGGCAAATTAACTATCTGGGAGCGGAGCTGTGATACTGATATTGGAGTCTGACGGTCATTGTCTGTTCCTCGTTTCCTGAGCGCTTTACACACCCTCTTAAATTACCTTCGTCCCCACCCAGCTCCTTTTCCACTCTCCCTTACCTACCAGTTCACTGTTACTAATTTCTCTCTCCCCAAATTCTTCTCGCTCAACCTACTTCTCCTGTATCCTCCATTAATTTAGGATGCTACTTGCCAGAAACCTACAAGTATGGACAGCTCCTCCTTCTCTGTCCTCCTTCCTGTGTGGATTTTGCAAATCTCTCCTCTCTGCTATAAAGATAGTGCTCATGTTGAGAATGCTATACTTCCCATTTATATGTCTAGGGTTTAAAAAATATATATGTTTAAAAATATGTATATTGTGTATTGGAGCTTTAGGTGAAAAGCGCTTAAAATATTTTTTTTTCGGGGGCGGGGCTGGGGCCGGAAGCATTGCCATTTAAAAATTGCTGAAAGGGTACTTTCAGTTCATCTTCATAGCAAATGTCCTTGGTCTGGAATGAACCTTTTGTGGGACTCCTTTACTTTGTGTAGATGTAAGGCAAGTACCACCCACCTACCACCCTGGTAGAAGAGTATCAAGGAGTATATATTAGCTTGGCAAAGACCTGTATTTTAGATGTGCTGATTGATGAAGTGAGGAGATTCCCCTGTGTGCTATTTGCATCTACATTATTGGACAGGAGTCTTCTGGGAAGGGAAGCTGAGTGCAGACTCCTTTCTTTAGAGAGAGATTCAAGTGTATTGGAACATGTGTAATGAACTGGGGAGGGACTGATTGAGGCCAGCTGGCAGGAAAGGACAGCATAAGCCCCTGTCATGGTAGAATCAGAAAATTCCTGAACCAGTGTCAGGCAGGCATCTAGTCCTAATTCTAGCCCATGTAATACCTCTGCACAGTTGAGGGTTATCTTCTGCAGTTGTATTCTATTACAAGTTAATCACTAAAGGGATGTTACCTATAAGTTTAAATTATATGTAATGGTGCATTTCTGGGAACCCTGCCTCCTAGATAATAAGCATTAAGCTAAAATACCTTTATTTAGCTCACGGGAAACATCCTGACCAGGCCCACCTGTGAATGGCTGCAGGAAGGAAGCAATTAACTCGTCCCCTCCGGAGTCTGGCCAGAACCAAGACTTTACCCCCTTCCCTTTTAGTATAAAAGAAGCCTGAATTCTAACTCTGGGAAGGCGGTTCTTCAAGAGACTAGTCCACCATTGTCTCTGTCTGCCAGCTTTCCAAATAAAGTCACTATTCCTTGTCCCAACAACTTGTCTCTTGATTTATTGGCCTGTTGTGTGGTGGGCAGTACGAGCTTAGACTCAGTAACACAATTAGCTCACGAAGTAGGTGAGTCAGCTTTATACACAGCAGCCTTTTGTTTTCTTTCTGTAAGACTAGTTCTGAAAGCATCTTTAAACAGCATTGTAACTTAAAAAAAATTGTGGTAAAATATACATAACATAAAATTTACCATCTTAACCATTTTAAGTGTACAGTTCAGTGGCATTAAGTACATTCACGCTGTTGTGCAACCATCACCACCATCAATCTCCAGAACATCTTTATCTTCTCAACTGAAACTCTGTACTGATTAATCAGTAAGTTCCCCTTCCGCCTGCATCCCAGCCCCTGGCAACCACCATTCTGCTTTCTGTCTGTATGAATTTTTCTACTCTCTCTATATCTTACATAAGTGGAATCATACACTTGTTCTTTTGTGTCTGGCTTCTTTCACTTAACATCTTCAAGGTTCATCCTTGTTGTAGCATGCTTCAATACATCCTTACATTTTATGACTGAATAATACTCCATTGTGTGGATGTACAACATTTTGTTTCTTTATTCATCTGTCGATAGACACTTGTTTTCCCTCTACCTTTTGGCTATTGTGAATAATGCTACTATGAATATATATGTATGTACAAATATCTTAAACAGTATTAGTATGTTATTAGGCTGTTTTTCTTTAGAAGGGATTAAAGCAATTTAATGGCTGGTAAGATAGGAAGCTCTGAGACAGTAAGAGAAGACTCCAGGATTTTCTTTAATTAATTGTGTTGGTTTTGTAAAACAGCCTAAGAGTTTTCCCCCAGTGCACCCTCCCCCCATTACTGGGTGGGGAAGCCTGGCAAAGCCTAAAGAAGAATCGCTTTACCTTATGTTCTCCCAAAAAAGTCTATGATTCTCCCTGGCCATTTGACGGAAAGTGGGGAAAGCTGTTGGCCTTACTGTCCTGGAATTCTAAGATCAGGAGAAACATCAGCATTCATTCATTTATTCATTTAAGAAACATGTATTAAATGCCTGTCATGTACCATGGTGTATGTGTGTGAGGCGCAGTGACAGAAAGAAATCCCTGCCCTTCTGATGCAGTTGGGCATTATTTAGATGTAGGTGGAGATATTCAGCATTGCCAGTTATGTTGCCTTTGGTTTTTCAGATAGTCCTTCCCTTGGAGGCTTAAACGTTATTTTTTGGGTAGACAGATTAAAAGTTAATTGTTAAACATTTTGAAATTTGATTGTGAGAGACTGTTTTAGTTACCATATTGATTCTTGGTATAATAAAATAAGAGGAACCATTGTATAGATGATGAAATTGAGGCACAGAGAGGTTAGATGACTTGCCAAGCTCACAGAACTAGTCCCAGACCAAGACCTACAACCTTAATCCCCGCTCAACACTGTCCTCTGGAGAAGCGACAGCTCCAGGACAAAGGCTTGACTCCTGTCCTGGGATCCTTACTTATAAAACATATCAGTTGGCTAAAGTATAGGTTTCATGCCATTTCAATAAAAACCCTCAATGCAAATTTTCTTAAAATACTACTAAAATGTATATAAAAGATTAAGTGGGATGGGAAAGAGGTAGAAAGCTATGAAATTTTCAAAGAGGAAAAATAATGAATGGTCTTGCCCTACCAGATTATAAAATGCTATATATTATAAAGCCATAGTGATTGAACTAGTGTGATACTGATGCCAAAATCAACAGACAGGTATATGAACTAGATTAGTTAGGTCAGAAAGAAACCGCAGTGTAATTACAGTTTGTTATATCTTAAAGGAAGCATAAAATCACTGAACAAGTGGTACTGGAACAATTGGTTAAAGAACTGGGAAAAACTTTTAATTATATCTTTACCTCTTACCATTTATCAAAATAAATTTTAGATAAGTTAAAGTTAAATGCTAACAATGCCTTGAAAAAGAAGAAAAGATAGGCAAACAAATTTTATTTAATTTATTATTTTTATTTTTTTGAATTTTACTTTATTTTATTTTTCTATATATAGCAGGTTCTTATTAGGTGAACATATTTTAAAACTTAAATCCCAGTAGACAAGTCTCAGAATGTCTACTAACATTACAACTATCCAACCTCATTAGTTTCCAAGAGAATGTAAATTAAAACAATGACAATTTAATCTAGCAAATTAACAAAGGTTAAAAAAAAAGTTTGGTGTTGTTATGGGTATAGGGAAATGGGAGATTTAATCTAGTGGTAGAAAAATAAATTGGTATAACTTGTCTACAAAGCAATTTGGCAAGGTTCTTTTCAAAGTTTTTATCTATTGACCTAGTTATGGCACTTTTAGGAATCTATACCAAGGAAATACTGGGAAACTCTAAAACTTATATACAAGGACACATACCCTGGGATTATTTATAATAAGAACAAACAAATAACTTAAAAGTCTAACAGTAGGGGGAGAGTTAAATGAGTTAAGAAATAACATGTTATAATTCTAGTTTAAAAAATCTGGTGGGTTCCAAAATTTTAGATATATATGTTTAAACGTACCAGTATATTTATAGGTTAGATAGACAGATAGATAGAAAAAAGATGAAGAAGGAAATACACTCAGATACTAAGAGTAATAGGTTGAGTGACCAGATTACTGGCGATATTTATGTTTTAAAAGTTTTTTCAATTTCCTTATCATGTATAGATTTTACTTTTAGACTCACAAAAATGTTGAAGTTGATTTAAAAATATTAACTGGAATTTCCCTGGTGGTCCAGTTTTAAGACTCTGTGCTCCCAATGCAAGGGGCCCAGATTCAATTCCTGGTCAGGGAACTAGATCCCACATGCCACAACTAAGAGCCCGCATGCCACAACTAAGAGACTGCATGGCACAACTAAAGATCCTGCATGCCACAACGAAGATCTCGCATGCAGCAAAGAAGATCCCGCATGCAGCAACTAAGAGCCGCTGCAGCCAAGAAAAAAAAAAAAATTAACCTATTCTTGTCTTTTTATGCCTCTGTTATTTCACCTAAAATATTTGAAAAATGTGTTTCTCAGAGGGCATGAAGGAAAAGGTCACGACCTGGCCCCAGTCCATAGCCTATGCTAACCCTTGGGGACAGGCACAGTCAGAACCCTGGACAAAGCAGGAAGAAATGAAGAATCCAGGGATGCTTGCTGCCTTCCTATTTAGCACTAGTCATTCACTCTCCCTTTGGGTTTCATGTCTCTGCCTCCTCTGTATCTACCATCAAATAAGTTGTTCCTTTGGTGTCTAGTCTATACCTAATACAGGACTGATCATGTCCTTTGCCTCTCTGTTTTGGGGGAGGATTATTTAATTACTCCTTTTCATTGTTTTGTAAATGGTAAATAACAGGGTTAACTTGGCTGCAGCCCTTCGAGTCACAGAGTAAGAATATTGACTTGGTGATATGTCTGTCTATGCCTGTCCCTAGAGACCTTGTCTGGCCCAGGCTGACTCAGCAACTTCCTAGGACCTGAATACCCTCCCGGCTTCACCCCTGCAGTGTTTCCCATCCACGACGTCCTCCCGGAGGGGCCTCCAGGGCCAGGCCTCCCCCACGTGGAAAGCTGGATATGGTTTGA